ACCTGTCAAATTTCAGGTACAGTGGCTGGTATTAGTAAAAATACAGAGATTATAATTAAATTACGCAAGTATAAAATATCTGCTCTACATATAATCAGTCATACGCATCGGATAATATGAATGCACTCCACCACAAAGTCAACGCCACAATTTTCATTATTATTTATTTAATTTTATTGAATGAAAGCAAAAATGTCGGAAATAGCATCAAATTTTAGAATAAGTTTAGATTTATTCGAATCGGCCAACTTTGACACGAATTATGGCCAATGAAACCGTCAAACGCTGTCCGAATGTTGCTCTGCGGTATTATTGGCCCATTCCCGGCGAAGCGCTTGCTTGAGGTGATCGATATTTTGCTATTTTTAAGTGCCAACCTTGCTTTCCAAAATACTCTAGACACAATAGTCCAACGGATTGGTATCCGGAGATTATGGGGGCCATTGCGCACTGGAAATGAAGCGAGGAACCTCATTTTGTAACCATTTTTTGGTGGCGCGTGCTGAGTCCTGTTGGAATGTCCAGGGTCTGCGGCCAAAATGTTTGCATGCCAAAGGCTTTAATACACCCTCCAGAATATTTTCGCGATAATATTTGGCATACATTCTGATGATTATGAGCGACCATCGGCTGTTATGGCGGTCCACACCATCACCATGGCCGTCGCTTGAGTTCTGGTGGCCAACCGAAAGTTCACATATTCAGCTGACCTCTTTGGCAAGTAAACACGATCATTTTGTTTGTCTGGACAACGAATGTTTTCTTATTGAAAAAAAAAACCTAATTCAGCAGTTCACCACTTTCGGCCAAGCGAATCAACTCTTTAGCTCTTTTGTGTCTATTTTCTTTCTGTTGAGGTGTAAGTTCTTGCACTTTTTGGAATTTCAATGGCTTTACCCTGAGCTCATTTTTTAATATTTGCGAATGGAATATTGCGATATCTCCAGCTTACGAGCCATTTTTCGGCCACTGCGACGAGTCGAACCATTTCTGCCGATGTTGTAAAGAGCGATGGTATGAGACACAAACGATTTATTCACATTTAAATGCTGGAGTGCTCTAACGATAGCCACTTGTGGTTATACCAAATATAAAGAAATCACACTATCACGGTTGAATTCCATCACGAATAAATTTTTTCAGCAAAATTCCCACCAAAATGCTTTTGTACGCTTGTAAACAATATAGTGAGCTGTCACTGCAATAGTTTTAACAGCTGTCGGACGAGTGGCACATAAATGGCAGCAGTCTGAAGTTGGTTGCAGTTTTTTCATCTCACCTTGTATAAAAGAGGAACATGTTTGTATGGACTCGAAAACCGCTACACAGCTTTTCCTGAAAATTTCCAAGCATACTACAACATTGGCTGAAAGTAACATAGGCTATATACAGTTTTGAAATTCCTCTTGGAACTGGAGATATAGCATCAGAATCGGAGGTACCTCCTAAAAATTTAGAATTTATATGCACATATCTTTTGATCGATTACAGATGCAATCTCCAAATTTAGAATGCGCAACGTGATTTGAAAGAAAAATAAATTTGCGAAATTATATTGAAATCGGTTCAGATTTGGATATAGCTCCCATACATATTTTCGGCCGATTTCACTTATTTGTTACAACAAACACGATATGTATGTTCTATTTTAATGAAATTTGGAATGAGTGACGGGATTTTATTGGAAAATCGGTTCAGATTCCGATATAGCTCCCATATATTTTTTCGGCCGATTTTACTTATTTGTGGCACCAAACACGGTACGTTTGTCCGATTCTAATAAAATTAGGACAGAGAGATGAAATTTGGTACCAAAAAAATTTGCAAAATTATTTTAAAATCGGTTGAGGTTTGGGTATAGCTCCCCTATATATTCTCGGCCTATTTCATATATTTGATGTACCATAACGTGTACCTACAATTTCAATGAAATATGGAAGGTGCGACGGAATTTAATGTAAAAATAAATTTTGTCAAATTATATTGAAATCGTTTTAGATTGGAATATGATTTTATTAAGGAGTATTGACTCACGTCGCCTTTGCAATGAAGTTAGGCTAGCAGTAAAAACTCAACTTCAAAAGATTGCAGTTTCCTGCACGCTTGGCATTTGCTATGAAAATTATAAATCCGAAGGACTACCCCTTCCTGTATGCGGACTAAATTTGCCATGTTCCCGCTTTTCTCATAGTCAGCTGTTCCTGACATGTTCACGTGTTGGTAGACCGAGCTATTTGTTTTTTACGCATTAAAATATTTTTTTTTTTAAACCAACAAATATTCGTCTATACAATACAAGCGCTCCGGGTTCAGCTAGTACTTCTATAAAAACAAAATCCCAATTTTGAATAGAAATTCTCCACAAAATCGCTCCACTCCATCTGGCCCACACAGGGTCAACATTTCTAAAAATTATAAAATTTAATAAAATGTAAAATAGTTATTGACCCTTTTCTCTCTCACATAGAAGAATGAATCTCTTCAAATAATAAAATGAATACAAAAATGTGATATTAAGGTCCAATTTTTACGGTAAATATAAATAAACACTGATATCTGCCACACACCGACTTTTTTGCTTGATTAAGTTTTGTATCTACGTTATGTACGTCCCCCATATTATATGGTTCCTCCGGGACTTTGGTATTTTGGAGGTTTCTTTCTCAATTTCCAACAAAATCTGCTGGATTCAACATTTGGGTTCTCTGTGTATAGTTTAAGCTCCCGTAAAAAATATGCCATGTGTGTCCTCTTTTCATAGGCTCATGTAACAGTTGTAGTTTTATATTTCGGGTTATTCGGGGTTACATTAACTCTTCTGAAAAATATACAACATTGATCCTCTTTTTGTATACCCACTTATATCTGTATTTTGAATGCTTCGGCCACAATGTCTAAATAAGTCAGCTGTAATTTAATATTTCGGGGTATTTGAGGGTACGCAAACGCCTCTCAAAAAATGTTCAATTTGGCTACAACTCCCATAAAATAGAACTTCCTGATTTAAATGATTTTGACTATAATCTATTGGCCATAGGTTATGTTTTCATAAAACATAACATCGTTTAAACTTCTTACTTCAAAAATGAAAACCTTAGTACCACGTACGAGCATGCATAGCTAAGATCCTGATTTTTGACATGAATTAAGGATGTGTAGAACTTGAGTTTCAAACTTGTAAATTCATTATCAAAGAGATAGTAAAACAAAGCAAATAAATGTCAGCAGACTTACTACAATGGATGGCAGTGTGGTGTCAGATATAGAAAAAGCCCAAAATTTCAAGACCTTAGTTTTCACTCACTATGCGAATGTATGTAAATATGCATGTATACACACACATATGTGTGTGTAAAGAATATGGCTAACTACCTAGTTGCTGGCTGTCATAAAGGCGGGCGGAGCTGAGTTTGTTTGCACTAGTGGGCTGTTGCCAATTGGGTGGAGCTCTTACCTGTGGCAGCAGTAGCTTTACCTTGGCTTGGCTCTCGCTTTCTCATTGAAATTCTATATCGTCTTTTCAGAGCTACTAAGGTGAGACACCTGCTGGCTATATCAACAATTTGCTAACTATTGTTTAAGTTCGTTTCTTTCGCTTTCTTTATGTGTTGCCGTTCATATTGTGTTCTCTGCCTGCTGTTGTGTTTCCGCTTTAAAGCGTTCTGTGCATAAACTTGTGGTACGCACACAGTATCCTTTTACGTTGAAGGACAAATTTATTGTTTGCTTGTGTGTGGGTGTGTGTGAGGGTGAGTGCGTGTACCTGTTTGCCAACGTTGTGTGAGCAAAATGGGTGGGGGTGTCTATATGAGTGTGTCAATATGGGAGCGGTTAAGTGTGTCTGAGCAACAATTTCAAAATGACGCAGCAGTGCAGTAGTTTATCCAACGGTCACAAATCCTTAGCCCAAGGTTCAAAGTAATACATACAAGGCATTTAGTGGCACCTTGAGGGTCTTGTGGAATTTATTTAAATGACTGGTTGAATGAATTGTTGTTTCACCAACTGTTAACAGGGTTGGCACATTGCTCGACAATTTGACTGTATTTTTGTGCGTGTTTTAAACAAATTAAAGCGGTTGCACAGTTTTTAAAAGGGCCTTCCATAGCTTATATGGCTTTGGTAAGCAAGTGTTGGACCAACATCTGTTAAAATCATTGATTACATTGAATTAAGCTTATATTGCTCCATAACAAAACTTTGTGGTTGAAATGTGGAAATATGTTCATTGAGTCCTTGAATATATCCGAATCTTTAATCAATATACATTCTTACAACTTCAAACTAAGACATTAAACTGCTTTCGGATTTTCCCTAAAGTGTGCATTTTTTGCTAATATTGGTTGGAAATTGTTTGAATAAGATTTTTTTCGTTTGGGGAAATAATGGCGCATATTTTAATTTTCACATACAGTGTGAGATGAAAAAACTGCAACTAACTTCAGAAGGCTGTCATTTCTAAGCCACTTGTCCGACATCTATTATAATTATAAAATATAAATAAATCATATCAACTAACGTTATGTAGCTCAAAGAGATAATTGTCTTACATTTAGTTTGGAATTTTAGCCTTTGGAAAAAAATGTTGAATACAGGGGCTTAAAGAAAGATAAAGCAAAAGTTTTCATTCCCTAAGTTATGGCCATTTTAAAATATGCTCTTTTTTCTCCTTCAAAAAGTGATTACAAATTATAGCTAAAAACCCTGAAATGTCAATATTTATGGGGTTATGGCCATTTTAAATTTTTATGTTTTTCCTCCTTCAAAAAGTGATCACAAATTATAGCTAAAAACCCCGAAATGTAAATATTTAAGGAGTTATGGCCATTTTAAAGAATGCTGTTTTTCCACCTTCAAAAAGTGATCACAAATTATAGCTTATAATCCCGAAATGTCAATATTTAAAGAGTTATGATCATTTCAAAGTTTGCTATTTTTCCTCCTTCAAAAAGTGATCACAAATTATAGCTAAAAACCCCAAAATGTTAATATTTAAGGAGTATATAAATAATTTATTAAATACGTATCTAAGTTAAAGGTTTGTGCGAGGACGTGATGACAAATATTTTCTTATAGGGTTCTTCTTTTCCTGTATGGATTTCTCCTCAGTTTTCACAGCTTTCACCAGAGTAGATATATTTGTGTTAGTGAGCATAGATAAAATTTCTTCCTGATAAGTCTCCGAACGACCAGGCAACGCATTGTATTGATCCTGTATAATCTTCTGAGCATTTTCTGCATCCTCATGGGTTCGATATTTTACAAAGTGAACTTCTGGTCTGATATCATTTTCATTATTTATCAATTGCAGTTTTTGTACTAAGTCATTGGTGTCGGTTTGCTTCGTCAAAACATAAATTGCAAAATGATTATCTGCCGATTGTTTGAGCATATTCATTGCAGCGTCTTCGAAAACTTGATTATCAGGTGTACGAATTAAGACGACTCGCAATTTTTTCTTCAACGATGGTAGAATTTTTTCCAATGTGCCGTTATCTTGAATTGGTTCTTCAGGTGCTGAAAACGTGTAGAATTGTTTATCGAATTCAACTGCCGAAGTAGCTTTTGGCTTTTGAATACTTTCATTAGAATGATCATTTGGAAGGGCATTTGTTATATCAATTTCGGATGGATTGGTAAAAGCATTTTCTTGATCATAGATGTAACCCAAGGGATGGCTGTACGCGGCAGAAATGAGGGAGCAAATCTGAAAATAAAAAAGGAAATACGTTGTAGTGTGTAGACTGTTAGTGAAAAAAAAAAAACAAAAAATTAAAAAAAAACATATGTGTATGTTTTATCCGATATGGTGTTTAAGTCCCTCATATTCGTAATATCCATTCGACAACAATGATATTTGGTACCAGATATCTTACAGAACTCGTAAATACCTCTGCCAAATTTTATCATGATCGGTTTAGACTTGGATATAGCTACCATACCTATATATATACCTTCAACCGATTTCTGGTTAATAGTGCACCAAATGGCGAATATCTGCCCGAAAGTCCTGCATTGTGGTACATCCGACGGTATTCAGTAAAGAAGCATTTATATAAAATTTGGAGAAAATCAATTCAGATATATCTATAGCTCCCATATACATATTTCATCCGAATTGGCGTTTAAGTCCCTCAAATTCGTAATATCCATTCGACAACAATTATATTTATATATTTATCAAGATCGGCAAAGATTGGGATAAAGCTCCGAAATATACTTGATCCGACTTCAGGTTTATTGTGCAAATAATGGCTAATATCAGCCCAAATGAATTTCGGGACATCCGTTTCCATTTTGTGGAACTACGCTATATATTTTTATACCCTACACCATACATAGTATGGAGGGTATATTAAGTTCGTAATTCCCTTTGTAACTCATCGAAATAATAATTTTAGACCCAACAAGTAAAAAAACAGTAAGTTCGGTCGGGCGAACTTTGAATACCCTCCTCCATTTGGAACGAATTGGAAAATTTTCAAAAACAAATTACAATCCATTGAAAATTCTGTTAAAATTTTTAAAATACCTAATATCGGAAGGTGCCTACATATGGGGGGATATACGATATTGTGGACGTATATAGGCAAATCTATATCTAGGGGTAAAGTACTCACAAGGAACTCCTTGTGTGGATTTTCAGATAATTCTTTTGGGAAATGTGGCTAAAATCATCAAAATACAGAATATCGGGGGTACCGTTATATGGGGGATATACAATATTGTGGACCTATATAGATAATTCTCTTCCAAGGGATAAAGTACCCACAAGGAACTCCTTGTGTGGATTTTCAGACAATTCCGTTTAAAAATGTGGCTAAAATCACCAATATACCGAATATCGGGGCTACCGTTATATGGGGGATATACGATATCGTGGACCTATATAGAACACTCTCTTTCAGGGAGTAAAGTACTCACAAAGAACTCCTTGCGTAGAATTTCAGACAATTCCGTTGAAAAATGTGGCTAAAATCATTAAAATACCGAATAACGGGGGTAATGTTATATGGGGTAATGTTATATGGGGGATCGGTTCAGAAATATATCAAATACAGCTCAGAAATACATTTACTAAATTTTATCGAGATCGGTTCAGATTTGGATATAGCTCCCATATATAAATTCGTCCGATTTATCTTTTATTGTGCACCAAACGTCTAATATTTGTCCAAATGGGATGGAGTTTGGCACTCACGACCGAATTGAGTATAGAAGCTAGTATGTCAAATTTGGTGAAGAACGGTTCAGATATAACTATAGCTCCCATATATACTGTTCATCCAATTTGTTATATTTGTTATCCCCAGCCGTAATATGCACTCCGTAACAACGATATTCAGGGAAATACAGCTCAGAAATATCTTTGCCAAATTTTATCGAGATCGGTTCCGATTTGGATATAGCTCCCATATATATCTTTATCCGATTTCAAATTAATTGTGCACCAAATGGGCAATACAAGTCCGAATTTAAAAGATACAAATGCTTCGGCATGTTTAGTCCTTTGAACTTTAAATTATAATTTTAAACATAGCGTGTATGATTGAATTCTCCCAATTGTTATGTGGAACTCTACTAAATTAGCAAAGTGGTGTAGGGTAACATAAAGTCTTCTTCTTTACTTTTTTTATATTTGGCATTTGAATATTGTAATGGCTTATGAGAAAAGTTACCTATGCAAGTCCATGTCGTCGCATAGACCCGAATATAACAGCTACATTCGGTATTTTTAAGATTTTAAAATTTTGGATTTTATTGTTTTTGAGAATTGTCAAATTCGTTTCAAATGGTGGAGGGTGTTCAATGTTCGGGCCGGCCGAACTTAATGCTTTTTTACTTGTTTCTGCATATTTTCTATTGTACTTCCCCAAAAATAGAAGACGGTTACTTAAACGATTTATTATGAGTTGTTTACGAGGCTGAATTGGGCCTTAAACCCTCTGCATTGAGTTATGACTGAAAGGTATTTCATTCATTTTAAAGTCTTTGAATATATTCCAATATCTTTTTGTTTAGGTTTTAATTTACACGTCAATTTCTTTAATTATTTATATTGAACTCCACTTAAAATTTTTACAATACACCAAGTTTTTGTTTAACAAGATTTGTTTCGGAAACATTATTTATTATTTTTTAAAGTTTTTTTTTTTTTTTTTATTATTTTCAGTATAAATCCACTTTTGGGTAAGCGTTAATAATCGTACACATTTACATTGGTCAGCAAATTACTTACAAGTACAATACGCATTTTATTCTAAGTATCAATAAATATTATTCGGGTTTACACAAAATTTATCCGGATGGTCTAAACGCGAAGACGATTTAATAAATAATGAAAACTGAGATGCACTTTGTAAAAAAATCTAAACTCAAAATCTATGAAGCTAGTGAGCGCAGTAGGCATTGCTACATAATGAAAGGTTGTAGAAATGCATTTGATATGTGATAAGAAATTTATTCAAATTTCACATCTTTCTATTGTTGAAATTCAATCCATTCGAAAGTTTATCCATCTTGCTTTGATTTGCATTTACATGTTGTACCCTAATTCATAAAACCCAGCTAATTCGCCTTAAATGCAGTCATTAATATGCAACAACAACAAAGGTTAAAACGGCCTATAATGACTTTTAATTATTGACCTTCCACAACGGCGGCAGTTACAACAACAATATCTGACCTTTAACAATAACAACGATTTACATGACTTGAAGGTGCTTCTACTTAACCGGTTATTAAGTATTTATGTCTCATGTAGGGAAGTCAAATGCTTTCACCGTTTAGGACCGGTTTAAAAGTATAGCGGCTTATTTGTGAGAAATAAATGGCTGACCCGATAATAAGCCAAGTGACCTAACCCATAAAAACACGTTAATTCTTTCTGTTCCCATTCTCCGATACAAGGAAATATGTATTCTTGGTCATGTTGTATTGTGAAGAGAAAAATAACCACTTAGTAATTATAAGCAAGGTTAAGAGATGATTTAGTTCCATTTTCTGGTGAAATCGGCATGTGAAAGCAGTTAGTTTCCAAAATGTCATAAAGTTGGCGGTGCCATCATATGGACAGTAAGGGAGTCTTATGCCACAGTTGTTATTATCTACTACTAATATAAATTTTTAAACAAGTTCCTTGAAATAAAGTGACACAACTAATCAAAATACCGAATATCGAGAGGTGCCATTGTATGGGGACAATAGGAAAACGTGGACCTATATTGAAAATGTTCTGGGGCAGGAGTAGGAATCCATTACCTATTTTTACCAAAATTTAAAAAATTCCGTGATAAAATGTATCTCGAATTGTCAAAATTTCGAAATCGGACAACCGTCTACGAAAACGCAGACCTACATATTCCATTTACAAACTTTACCTGTCTACCGAGTGTTTTTGATTCTTACACAAGATCCAGAGGTCATCTCTATCCCTCAAAAGATCTGGAGGTATTCCCTACTCATGATGTCTTTTATCTATATTAATAAACGAATTAAATAATTGACAAACTGACTGATTGACTACTTCGCCGACTGACTAATTGAAGCTAGAATCTTGAAATTTTTGAAGAGGGCCACTCTTGGTCCGAAGGTGTCAGACAACTCGTACTAGAACGGTACGAAAAATACTAAAAGGTAGTGCTAGAACTCTAAAATGGAATTAGAGTTCCTGATGAAGTGTATGGTGGATGTGCCAGAAGGTTTTTGGAAATTCGCTATATAAATGCACAAGAAGTACTGAAATGTAGAATACTGACGGTTAGACCTAAAACTTTGAAATTGGAATGGGAATCTAGGTTGAGGAGTAGGATCGATGTAACAGCATTACCTTAAATCCGAAGTATAGTATACAAATTTTCAACATCCCCACTATGATAAAATGTTTTGTAAGGAGTAATTTTGGAAGTGTGTACTCATGAAGGAATTTGGAGGAATAGATGATGCTGGAATTCAAAGAGTAGTGTAGTAGGAGTGTAGGATTGGTATATGAAGCTAGTTTCGAAATTTGAACTTATGTGTACGAAAAGTTTTAAATTTGGTACAATTTATTTGGAATCCTAAAATTTGGAAATAACATAACTCTTGTATTGTAGGATTGGAGTATGTAGACAATTTTGGAAATTGGTACTCATGTGTACTAAATGGTATTCAATTTGTACAATTTAAATTTTGGGGGAACCGGTAGAGATGTTATCCTGAAATTTGGAAATAATATTTCTATTGGATTATGTGGTGTAGGTGATTTTGGAAATTTGTACTGAGTTATATAGGTATATGTTTCAAAATATATACAGTTTGTATTTGGGCCAACCGATAGGATTTGAATCCAGAAATTTGGAAAAAGATAACTGTTGTATTGTAGGATTAAACTATGTAGAAAATTTTGGAAATTCGTAGTTATTATAAAAGGAATAGTTTAAATTATTGGGAGAACCGGTAGAGATGGAATCCTGAAATTAGGAAATAAAATTATTGTCATAGTGTAGTATTGGGATATGGAGGTAGTTATAGGAATTTGTACTTATATGTACTAAATGGTACTGAATTTAGTACAATTTCGATTTGAGTGAACCGTTAGAAGTGGAATGCTGAAATTGTAGGACCGAGGTATGTAGATTGTTTCGGAAATTCGTATATATTTGTACTAAATGTAACAAAAATCGGTACAATTTAAATTTGGGATGGAGTGGGAATCCTGAAATTTGCCATTAAGATAGGTAGTAGAAAACTTTGGAAATTCGTACTTATGTGTATTACATGGTACTAAAGTGGGATAAGGGAAGTAGTGAGATAAGAGCTTTTTTTGGAAATTCGGACATAAAGTTTTATGAAAGTTATAAAAGCCACTAGATTTCTGACTTTTTGCTATTCTGTGAACGGATACAGCTAAAATCTTTACATTGGTTTAAGAATTAAGTTTGTAGTACTTACAATTACTAAATGGTACTTAATTAACAAGTAAAAAAGTTGTAAGTTCGGCCGGGCAGAACTTTGAATACCCTCCACAATTTGGAACGAATTTGGCAATACTCAAAAACAATAAAATCCGTTAAAAATTCTATTAAAATCTTAAAAATGCCGAATGTAGCTGTTACATTAGGGTGTATACGATGACATGGAGCAGCATAGGTAACTTTTGTCATAAGCCATTACAATATTCAAATGCGAAACTTAAAAAAATCGGTGAATAATGTCGCTACAATCATCAAAATACCGAATATCCGGAGGTACCGTTTTATGGGGCCTATACCAAAACGTGGACCTACATGGCCCATTTTCAATACCAAAAGTCCTGCAGACATAATATACATTTGAGTAAAATTTTATCAATCTACATCAATTCGTTCGGAAGCTAGAGTGATTTCCACAGACGAACAGATGGATAAACGGACGGACATCGCTAAATCGACATAGAATTTTATGCTGTCTAAGATGTATATTTCGAGGTGTTACAAACGGAATGACAAACTTAATATACCCTCTATACTATGGTGGAGGGTATAAAAAGGATATAAATAATTTCCTTTCTCCGCATACGAACGTATTCAGACGTTAGAACATCTTGATATATCTGTATAAGAAAAAACAGTAAAAGTAAATCTAAAATTTTAGGTATTTTGAAGTTCTTGACAAAAAATCCCAATCGATTTTGCTCTAATAAAAAATTTTCTCATGGTAAAGTGTTTAAATTGTTTGCCCCTACTCAACATTATTTTAATATTTTTACTTCCAGAAACTTTTGTACAGTTTCAACACAGTTTTTAACTGTTTACACACAAATAATGAGAGCTGTCAATAGAGAACAAAAAAAAAACAACAACTTCTCAGAAGGCCCTTTCATAAAGTTATACGCAAAAAGAAATAAAGTAAATAAAATACAACATTTCTCAAAATCTAATTTGACATTTTCGTACACGACATTTTTCGAAACGTGCGAAAGAAATGTTGACAAAATGGTAGAAAATGTCTTTGGCCACTGCTTGTGTGGTTGTGAACGAAGGTAGGATTTGCTGTGGTTGTTATTGTTGCAAATAATGGTAAAGAAAATATTTCGTAGGTATTAGCGGAAAGTAAATTTTCGACAAACAAATTTGTAATGAAATAAGTTTGCGGTAAAACTTTGACATTTTTGAAATGAAATCGAAAAAATCTTATTTAATGTTTTGTTTTGGTATGCTCAGTGAAAAAGTAGAGCAGAAATCTCACCGTCCTTGAGAAGTTATTACAATTCGTAATTAAAGGATTAAGAGAAATGTAGAAAAGTATTAGTTTTAATTAAATGACAAACAAGCAGGTCGCTAAGGATTTTTTAATGGCGCAGCTGGTGATATCATGGTCATATGGAAAAACTAAAATCTAAAAAGTCTACACTGCTCAGCATATCATCGAAATAAATAAGTCATGAAGCTTTTTTAGAAATATAATTTTATACCCTACAATACTATGTTTTTTTTTTTTTGGTCGTAACCCCTATAATAAAGTCCGCTGCCAAAACGCGGAGTATGACCGTTTACTGCATAAAAAAAAAAAAAAATAATATATAGTTTCCATATGGGCTTTCCATCTGTTTTAAGTTTGTATCATAGTTGGTATGATCTACTTCATAAAAATTGACAACATAAATTTTTATACCCTACACCACAAGGTGGTCAGGGTATTATGTCTTTGTGCATTTGTTTGTAACAGGCAAAAGGAAACGAGATAGACCCATAGTTCCTTTTGGTGATCTGCATAGAATCACATTCTGAGTCGATTTATGCATGTCCGTCCGTCCGTCCGTCTGTCCATGTATTTTTGTAAACAAAGTACAGTTCGCATTTATTGCCCTATCCAGATGAAATTTTGCACGAAGCATTTGTTTGGCCCAAGGACGAACCCTATTGCAAATAGAGATAGTCGGTCAAAATTTAGCTATAGCTCCCATATATATCTTCGTCCGATTTGCCTTTTATTGTGCACCAAACGTGTAATATCAGTCCGAATAGTATGAAATTTTGCACGTACAATCAGATTGTAAGTATGCCAAATTTGATCGAAATCGGTTCAGATATAGCTATAGCTTCCATATATATTGTTCATCCGATTTGTTATTTTTGTCCCCCGCAGCCGTAATATGCACCCTGTAACAACAATATTAGGGGAAATATATCAAATGCTGCTCATAAATACATTTCCTAAATTTTTATAGAGATCGGTTCAGATTTGGATATAGCTCCCATATATAACTTCGTCCGATTTAATTTTGATTGTGCACCAAACGTCTAATATTTGCCCAAATTGGATGAAATTTGGCACTTACGACCGCATTGAGTCTAGAAGTTAGTATGTCAAATTTGGTGAAGATCGGTTCAGATATAGCTATAGCTTCCATATATACTGTT